GCATTGATGATTATATGAATTGGTCCGATTCACATTTCACTATTTTTGGACTGCCTTAAGTAAAATTTCGTTTTGTTTAACTGAATTTTAGAAGTATTTAAGAGTTCAGTATGATCTGATAAAGCAGCTACACTTTTATGAGGTGTATATTTCAACAAATATGTCTAGCATTGTGATCCACAAGATCCTAGATCCAGAAGCACACAAAACTATTTAACTAACGTCCAGCTTATCTAGATCGTGTTGCGAACAAAATAATAAGCAACATGCTCAAGCAATCGTTAATAAATATGACTTTTTTGCTAAATTGATTTCAATCAAAAACATCATATTTTGATCAAAAAAATCAGTTAATCAAAAAACAAAAATCTGATTTCTGATATTTCCTCCTTGAATTAATTTATTATGGATTCTGAACTTATGACACGAAGTTATCTGCAAAAGCAAATATGCAGATTTCGATCTGAAATTTTGTCAATAAATAAATCTAATGGCCACTAGGATGCATTAAAAGATTCAAAGAAAGCCAATGTATCATTGAGATATTTAATTTTCAAAAAACCATCTATGTCTCAGAAATTCGCAAAAAATCGGAATATTTGGATATGCAATATCTTAAGAAGGATGGATTCGTATTGTCTGGAATTGTTAAAGTATCTTACTGACCATTAGATTTATTTATAGACAAAATTTCCGGTCGAAATTCGCATATTTCCTATTGCAAATAATCTGGCGTCATAGGTCCAAAATTCAATAAGGTAGTCATAACTTGGTCCTAAAGGCTCAGACATGCGAAGCAACTTAGAGTTATTCTAATTTAGTCGAGAGGACATCGTTGGGACATCATGAGGATGTTTCAACAATGTCCACTTGGAATTGACAACTTCTGCTGATACTCGACCTTCTAGGACGAAACATATGCTGACTGTACGATTTTCTATCGACGGGTTGAAAATCATCACAATGTTTCAGCGTTTTTGTTTTGTCATTTCGCGCTTTGTTTAATTGCTTCACTAAGGCTTAAACTAGCTATGTTACGTGATTGTTATGTTTTCGAAATAATGAAGCAATGGAAGAACATTTTCCTCTTAAAATTATATGGAGTGTCGGATTTCTGCGGAAAATGGTACGATTTCCTGTTTTAAGGATGTTGCAAACTGCTGGAATAGAGTAGAGAATGAATTTCATTTGACATTTCGTAATTTCTATTGCGAAATAGTGTGCACTTTCGATGAGTAGTGCCATATTTTGGGAATCCTGATTTTTTTTTTGTCTTGAAAATTCTTGTATGATTCCTGATTTTGCATATTAACCCGCTGCGACCCCCCAAATATTATTCAAACAATTGCATACTCGAATATGAATATATCTACGAATATTTTATACTACTTTATAGTTATAAGCTATAAGAAATTTAACATTGCAACGTTCGAAAACAAAGGATGAGATTTCGTAAAGAACAAAATTTTTCGATCTTCATATAACGCTATAATTTTTATCTCTAAATAGACTTGTTCTGAAGGTTCGTGTACGTCTGCACAACTTTCGGATTGAGTATTTTTCTGCGAGTTGTGTGACTCTTAAAAATTTTTCTCTTCCTGAAATTTTTACAACGATTGGCCACAACCTACTATAAAAAAACATTATTTTTTCGCAATAGAAAAACTCACAAGTTAATTAGCATATATGATTAATAATTATTGTTCAACATTTTCAAGATTCATTTTTATTAAATTAAAGACAAAATAAAATCAAAGTTCCAAACAAGGAAAATAATCGTAGAAATCTTTTGAATGTATATTTATTATAGGATCTAAATTTAATTGTCTCACTTTCATACAATTGAGTCGTGTTCTATCGTTTGTAAAATTTTTCGTGACATTTTCTAAGTAATAATAATTAACTAGAAGTTTGGTTAGACGCGGTAGATGTGTTTTTTTATCGTTAAGAAATTGTTCGACATAATCCTGATGAACAAATCTAAGATCGAGCGAAGTAAGATAAGGATATTTAATAATTGTTGAACATAATTGATTATCATTAGAGTTTAATATTGGGGATTGTGGAGAAATATTAAACACCTGCAATACTTTAAGAAAAGGAAAAGACCAAGAAATCCGCATGAAGAATTCGTGTTCGAATGGAATTCCATCGTCCACCACCAACCATAAAACATGATTGAAAATAATATTCGAAAATGTATTATCAATATAATAAAGATTATCAAAGATGAACGGTAATGTAAACACATGATATTTGATATCAAAATTTCGATATTTTATCATACAATCTACTTGTTGATCTGTTATGTTATTGAAAGTTTGTAAAATATCATCTTTAGATAAATGATGAACTAAATGATCCAATTCGATGAAGTTACAAAAACAAAAGTTAAATCTATTCAGTTTTGACATATGAACAATAATTTCATTATAAATGTGTTTACCATCAATAAATGTTGTTAGATTGTCAAGAATAAGATTTAAATTTAATACTTCAATATTTAACATACGACGTAAAAGTGGTAGAATTTTATTATAATATGCATCAGTTAAACAATTACATTGTAAATTAAAATATTTCAAATCAGGTAAATTATTCTAGAAAATATAAATCAATTGTATTACTACCGATTAAAATTTTAAAGAATGATTGTTAGATTCCTTTTTCTTTTATTCTCCAAAAACAAAAACCCAAAGCTTGTTTACAAAAGAGAAAAAAAAACAAACAAAAAAAAAAGGGAAAAGATAACAATAAGCACACCCCTATCCACCGGCTATATATCCAGCAGGCATTCATACACACTACACTATATATCTGACTATATGAAAGAGGAAAAAGGATCGTCCGTCTATTAGAGTCCTGCGGGAACAACGTTTTTTGGTTCTCATTCCCTATTCCCATTCCCGAAGAAAAAAAAATTCTTCCCATTCCCTAAAAAAAATTTTATTCCCATTCTCTAAGGTTTTCTAAAGCTCTATACATTTATGAGACAAAGTGTTGTTGCCATATATCAGCTGCTCGCTACGTACTATTAAATAAATTAAAAGTACTATGATGATTGGATAAACATTTGGCTAAACATCCTACTGAGATGTCTTTTTACAAGTATAAAGACAGTTCTGCTCAATTCTGTTTATATTAAATAAATGAAATATCTTTAACAAATAATAGAGTTATCTCCACCATCAATTGAACAAATGAAAAAACGAAAAAATAATAGCATATCAACTACACCAATGAGAAAACAAATGTATTCAAAAAAAGATGATGATAATGATGTATCACAAGATGATTTTGACAATATCACATTCGGAGATGATGAAGAAAAAGAAAATAATAGTTGTAATGATTGAATTACGATTTAGTTAAGAATAAATGAATCTGTCTATGTTTTGTTCATAGAAATTCGTTATTCTTCTGTTAATGGTATATGAATAACAATAGTTATCAAAAATAAACAGCTATTACATAGGAATATTCTTATTATATTGAAATAAGATAGAATAAATTTAGGGAACATCAATTTTTAACTTTGTTCCCATTCCCTAAGTCTAAATGGGAAAATTAGAGAAAAAAGTCGTTCCCGCAGGACACTACCATCTATATAACTTCTATATAGATGGCGATCCTAGCAAAGGTTAATCTAATGTTTAAACTTACCGTATTATAAACCTTCGTTGAATGAAAATCCTCATCTATAATAACAACATTCAATGTATTTAATTGTTTGAGACGACCGTCAAGTAAAGCAAGTAAATCATCGTAACACATAACATGAATACATAATTTGTAAAGTGTTGAAGAGTAGTAAGTAGTTGAAGGTAAATTACAAAGTATTAAAGGTGGAAAATTTTTCGAGTATGATCCAATAATAGATAAATGTTTTAGATTTTCGAAGAATTTAAAAATAAATCCATATATATCTGTTGAATAATGTTCACATGATATTTCATTAAAAGAATTTTCAAATACAAGAATAAGATCTGTAATTTGTCGCTGAAAAATTCGTCGAAGTGGTGATTCAACTAGATAAAAAATAGATATTATCTAGGTTAGTGTACAAGTTATTTACCTGTTAAATAATGTGAAACAATTTTACCATTAAAATTAAAGATTTTAAGTTCACTTAAATTAGGATAACCAGCAACACGAAGAATACGTTCCATAGATAATGAATTAAGAACAATAGATTTAATATTGTAATGGATTCTTGGCAATATATTCATGCAGAATCGATCAAGTATTCGATCAGAAATCGATAAAGTATCATCAGTTAACGTTGTTGATACAAAATTGAGAGTATGAATACAAATATTTTCTTTTATTATCTTGTCGAGTCGTTGATTATTAACATCAAACAATGAATATAGAATATCAATATTATCTAATTTTTTAAAAATGGTAATTAATATTTCAGTAGGAAGATCAAGAAGATTAATGTTACACTGATTCATACTGATTGTGACGAATACTTTTCTTATGATGTATATATATATATATATGTTGTGATCAAAATAAAATTTCAATTTTGACTAGGCAAAAAAAAATTTGACTGAATTTTAATTTTAGCTACAACATATATTTATTTGTGTCCGTTGATGTCATTCAGTAAATGAATGAATGAATGAATGACTTCGGTGACAAAAATAGTGTGTCAATGAAGAATAAACTAATTAATTTATAGACGAATATTTATTCTGTACTTTTTCGTTTATATCTTATATTGATAGTCATTGTTCTTATAAGTCATGTTCAGAAAGAAGGAAAATATAGTTATATAGTGGAATTCGAAATCTAGAAATCTTTCAAAACTACTGAAGTTTTTCAAAAAACCGTACTTCAACATTTTAGAATAAGTTTAAAGTTTTACACGGTGTAAAAACCTACAATTGGACACATTTGTCAAAAGAACCAAATAAAGAAGCTAATTTTTATTAGAGATGTTTCGTCTCTATTCAAAAGACATTGCTGGATTTGATTTCGGTCTTGTTGATAATAATGATTACGTTATATTGAAAGAGAATGAAAGTGAAAAGAATTAACAAATACTCAAAATTTTTGTTTAACATCATATAGAAGAGAGTCCTCTTTTTCTTGACAATAACACACGAAATATGTCATGTTTATCAAGATAAAATATACGTTTTTGTTCGGAATATTGCGACTCGTCTCAGTGTATCTCTTAGATTGAATGTCTTCAATTTTTTTCATGATTCAGGATTCATGATGTCCTATAGGCTTATCGCCCGTTGGGGCCAACCGCTGTTCGGACTAGTTTCTTCCATATCCATCGGTCTTGTGCCAGATGGAACAAGTCTTGTTCACTGCGTTCACATCATTCTGTGATGTCGTCCATCCACTTTCTGCATGGACAGTCTCTTCGAGATTTTCCATTCATTTTTGCAAATAGGATGTGTTTGATCGGCCTATTATCGTCCATTCTACAGATATGACCAAACAATCTTAGTTTCCTTTTTCTGATGATATCTATTATGGTTTCATTTAGAACTAGAACCAACAGCCACGATCGCGATTTCGACCTTGCTGAAGGGTCTCATCAGGTGGACGAAATCGCGATCGTGGTTGCTTGTTCTAGTTGCAGTCATGCATCTTTACACCGGTTCTCTCTTATCTTAGATAAGAGTTGAGCATTCGGTTTTCTATCACGACTTAGGTTGTGATGGAATTGGACTATGCCACCTGATGAGACCCTTGAGCAAGGTCGAAATCGTGATCGTGACTGCTGGTTCTAGTTGCCTGGGTCAGTTAGCATACTCGAATCAGAATTTGATTTGTACAAAATGAAATGGCAACAAAAGAAGCCAGCTGATCGACCAATCACGGCCACTGATGCCTTCCGCGCTACCAACGCCAAGTTTTTTCCCAGCATCATAATGTTTTTAAAAGTTTATGCAACACTTCTGATGACAATTGCTAGAGGAGAACGCAGCTTCTCCTCCTTGAAACTTCTAAAATCGTATCTACCTTCCACAATGAGTGAGGACCGTCTAAACGGTCTGGTGCTCATGTTCATCCATCCCAATCTGTCCATTGATATCGATAGAGTGATTGATCGGTTCGCATCAAAGGATTCAAGAAAACTTGATTTTTCTTCATAACAGTAGCTTTTTACTCAAAGTCTCGTGTGGTTAGTTTGCAACAGCAAAAATAAAAGAATTGTGATACACTTAACGTTCTATACTCTGTAGTATGTGTTTCATTCGAATGTCATAGCAAAAACTGAAAATCCGCCCCTACCCAGAACAAAACCTGGATCCGTCGCTGATCATCTTATGTATAAGGATGTGTGTGAAAGAGACGACACACGTGCTGTTTTCTTTCCCTTCGATTTCTTGTCAGATAGTGACAGCAATGATTGACAAAAATAAAAGAAATAAAATAATACGAATTATGATTATCTCGAATAAAATGATTATTGATTCTGTTTTATGATCGCAGTAAAAACAACAAAATGAATCTTTTTTTGAGTCATCAAAAAAAAATTGACAAGGAATATAAAACGTATTGTTGGGCAATTGAAATAAATAAGCTTTCAATATATTCGTTTAAAAATTTATTCGTCTCGAAATACTAATACTTGATAATATTCATACAAAAAAGGGTGTGGGTGTGAATGTGGTTGATCCTTTCGTAAACACTGATACCAATACGTGCACCCTCACTCAGACCAACACTCATCCACACCCACCCACACCCACGCCCACACCAACACCCACACCCCACATCCACACACCCACACCCGAATATGGGAAGGTTTTAGTGATCATACACATAGTGGAAAGGTACTATTTTGAGATTTTCTCACCAATGGTTTGGATTACAATTGATCCAAGGTTACCATTAGATAGAGCTCGTCGGGTTCTACTTGGGCGATTTTCTCAGCAATGGTTTGGATTACGATTGATCCAAGGTTACCATTAGATAGAGCTCGTCGAGTTCTACTTGGAACTGGGTTAGGCATGCACCGAGCCCGAACTACCCGGGTTCGGTGCATGCCTAAACTGGGTTGGAACACTTGGAACACGTTCCTGAACGAATATGGGAAGGTTTTACTCGAATATGGTGCTAACTTCACCTACGTGCTAATGTTACTATTCAAGGACGTGAAATGGTTGCTGATATTCAACTGCAACAACAAGCTAGAGCTCGTCCAGAAAGTCCTATTGAGTTTAGCACATCAGTATGTGAAAAAAAAGATTTCGTTTTGTTTTCTTTTAACATTTTCTTTTTCTATTATTAGTTTCACTTGATTACACAAGCTCAATATGGTACTATGGAGTGTAATGATAATGTTAGCGATGCCGATATTAATAGTATGATTCGATATGAATCTAGACAATCTCTATCTTAATAGGAACAAAATAAATTGACAATTGTATCTAAACAATATGTAAATCGACATTATTTTTATTGTAAAAACAATATTTTGACAAAGTTTTATGCTAAAAATATATTTATTATTTTTTTTGTGGAATTTTAATTGTTTTTGAAACAACGTCCATAATTCATGTTTGGACGGAAAAAAAATTGAGTTTTACATGATTTTAATTTTGATATGTTCATATTAAATGCCTGTAAAAACTGCAGATATTCACTGATACCGATCAAACTGCAAAACACGATAGAGTTCAAAACAAATATCATATGGACATCCATTCTAGACTGCGCTTTTGTAAAACACGATCTAAAATGAGTTCTGAAGTGTATAAGGTAGGAATTTATACCGCCCCCTTCTCCCCATAGACTATGACAGAAGATACCAACTGGTTATCAGATATACATTACAAACGACTCATCAAAGACATCCCGAACAATACGAGTTCTTCGTCATGCACTATGACAAACATACCTATAAAAACGCCACAGAGCGTGACAGATAGCTTAGCAGCGTTCTTCCCTGCTACCCGCATCATAGACTTTGACAAAAGTTGTTGATAGTCGATCAAAGACCATATAGGAATAACATGTTATTATAATATATGAGCTACTTCCTTATTACGTTTTTGGAGCATTAAATAAAAAGCTGATAGAGAAATATTTCCCAAAATAAATAGAATAAAATAATCTTCCTATGATTAGCAATGGCAACTACACCGTGTTTCACATTTTCATTTCGGAGAGATTTCTTGGTTTTCACTTGGAGTATGACCTTTTTTGTGAATATGGGCCCTCATATTTTGATTTTTAATTAAGCAAGATATTCTACAAATAAATATCAAAGTAACTATCGTTATGATTTATAATTAAAATCAAGGCAATGATAGATGTCCGGATGTATCTGCAGTTTTTACAAGCACTCTTTTATATTTAATGTATCTATTTCTTGATTTTTCATTAATTTTCCTATTCAATAAAATTGTTTCAATTTTCATCCTATTTGTATTTAATATATGGGTGAATTGCAACTTTATTGTACCGTTCGTAGTTCCATATATAAAACTAATAATTCCAGTTCCTTTAGGCCAATCTTTATGAAAATTTCGGAGTATACTTTCGTAGTTGATGCTCACTACCACACAAAAAACCACGAATCTATAGTTAGCCTATCCCGAAGTAATGCATACACAAGGTTAAAATGGCTGATTTCTACTGCCACCTATGGACAGGAAATGACCCATCACTGATTGGTTTCTTGTCATTTGAATTTTGAAAGTTGTTGACATTCACAGTGGACAATGTATACACTATGGATATGAGACTGGCTGGTTCTTTCACCGCAGTTTATGTTATTTTTTTTTCCGAATATCAGATGTACCGTCAATGGTCAATATGATGTCACACGAGATTTAAAAACATCTTTGCTATATAACAAAGCATTCAAGATTTGTCGGATTAGTTTTGAATGAAAGTTTATCAGCGGGGAATAGAACTACCAAAGACGATTCGAAAGTTTTACTTATTCTTGTTAAGAAAGGGACATTAAATAAAATTTGAAAATATAGTTGTCACACTAAATGTCACACGAGATTTGATACTTTGTGAGTCGTATTAACTCTTGTCGATTAAAACAGATTGAGCTGAAATTTTTATCATTTTATCTGTTAGTTGTGGTCAGATATTGCTGAAAATATCACGGTTAGAAAATGCTCCTTTCGCATAATAGAGAGGAAAATAGTGTAAAAATGTCACACGAGATTTTTTCAAAAAAGTGCCAGATGAGATTTTTATGTGGATAACTATCCCGTAACTGAGATCAAGGTGAGTAAAGGGCATATTAGTTGCTTTCATGTTTTAATGACTATCACTACTCACACGAACTAACTCTAACTCATTCCTCACGAGTTAATAAATTTGCTGTGAAAGATGGGTATACACGATCTATACTCAATTTAACAGTGGTAGTCGGGAAAATTTATTCATATCCATCTCTCATATAGTGTAGTAAGATGCACTACTCCCAATCTCTAAAATCGGGAAATTTTTTTCTCAAAAC